TTACTCCCTATGTATATGTTTGGGGCTAACTATTTGGTGTTGGGTAACAAATTAGAGGGCTCATCCCTGAGGGGCACTGATTCTTCCTCTCCAAGCAGCCATTAATTGCCTGTAGCTCTTCATATAGGGGTGGACCCTTATAAGATTTCCCACATCTACACTGAGTATTAATTGGTATTGTTATTATTCAGCCGTTATTTAGGCAGCCATATTGTTGAAATATCACGGGTGTGGCTTCCCTGCCATGTCCAGAAGACACAGTCTCACGGCAAGATATTCTCTGGTCCTTTGACTTTTACAGTCTTTCTGCCCCTTCTTCTGCAACGTTCCCTGAGCTTTAGGTGTAGGGCTTGTGTTGTAGATGTATGAGCTGGGACATGGCACCTCAAAGTAGGTTGTTCTTTGCATTTTGATCAGTTGTAGCTGACTGTAATTTGTCTCCGTCTGCTGCAAAGAAAAATTTCTTTGATGAGAAGTGAGAGCTACACTCATCTATGGGTCTAAGTGTTCAGTACTTAGAAGGAAGAAATCATTCTGGTTTGGGAAAGCGGCAGTGGTAGGTTTTCTTTAGGTTCCACGGCCTAGCTAGCCAGGGATTGTTGGCCAGGTTTACAGTACCAGGCATGAATTCCCTCCTATTGAATAGGTCTTACGGTCTAATTAGACAGCTGTTGGCTATGCCCAGGATATAAGTACCACTATTGCACCTTTGGGGCTATCTTTTCATTCTGGCTATTGTGGTTTATAGGCCCAGAGGTGGGTCAGTAGGTGATTGAGTAAAGAAAACGTGTGATATAAACACAATGGGGTTTTGTTGGCCCACAAAGCCACTCATATTAACTAACTTTGGTGTCCCCACTCACTCAAAACATGATCTTCTGAACAGTACGCTCAATGCACCGTCCTAAGTGTAGAGAATGCTACCGTGTCCAGGACAAAGTTCTTGCCCCTGTCAAGTCAACAATATAGTGTGGAAGACAGAAAAAAGCCAGACATAATGCCAGGCGGCAGTAAGTGCTGTGAGGAGAAATGAAGCAGTAGAAATTCAGAGAAGAGGACTAGGGCAGAATGCTAGAGAAAATGATCAGGAGTCATACTGGAGACGCGAGGAAGTATGTACGTGAGCCTCGGGAGGGAGGCCTCAAGCAGAGGAGAGCAGGAACAGCACCCGTTGGTATGTATAAAATGTGACAGCCTCTGGAGGAGTGTCAGGAAAGTGACACATTCTCCTTCAATTTTATCTCTGTAGCTGCTGTGTGGAGAATATATTATTGGAGGCTAAGAGCTCAGATGTGCATAATAGGTCAATAGATGAGATTTAATAAACAATAAGTCCCTTTCTGAAACCTCTAAAAAGATGTGATATAGAACTAGGTTAATTTTTATCATGTCTCACACTCCAAGCTTTCTCAGCCACAGACTGGATAGAGAAGACACATCTCCTTCCTGGGGCCTCTATGCTGCAACAGGAAAGTATATTTTCATAATCATACAGTTATTCAAAGTTTGAGTCTTCTTCTGAAAATCAAAGATGAGGCTTGGAGTTTTCTTCATCACACCCTCTTACATACAATGCTAGCTCTCGTAATTAAAGGCTCCCAAACAACATTTTCTAGAGAATTCTGGTAAAACATTTTTCTTCGGCACATACAGTCCAAAGAGCTCTAACCTCAATCATTTTTCAGGTTTTAATCTCTACATGCTTGGCATAGTCTGATAACATTGACAAGTTAAAAGCAACAGTGTGTTGTGTGCATAGAGATTGCTTGCAATAAAAGGTAATTTAGGCAGAGAGTCTGTTGCTGCCTTACTGCAACTTTTCAAAATTGATTAGATAAAAATCTCGAGAGAGCTTTGGATTAAAAGCAGCTACAAGAGCAAAAAGCAGCAGCCTCCCTTTACCAAGGACTCTCAAAGGAGTGCGGTGCCGATAACACTAATTCTTGAGAAAAGAGAGACATTTTTGGTCTTTGTTACACCCAGTAGCTGCAGATAAGGACAGTTATGGAGATAAGGAAATGAAGATAAGGAAGACTTAGGTAAACATGTCTAAAGAAGGCACATGACTTCCCTTCCATAGTGACTTCTGAGCCTGACAATGATTTGCTCATTGCATAACCACACCAGTAAAGGTATAAGGAAACTCTGGCTCATTCTAGGTGGACTTAATAAACTCCTGATAGTAAACTCATCACTTTAGACTATGCCCAAGAGCGTCAACTGTTATAGCAGCAAATAGCCTTTCAATAAGACCTGACTGGTGCCATTAGTCCTGTCCACATGAAGACAGGGGGCTCATCGTGGTCGCATGTTGAGTCACAAAACAACTAACTGCCAGGATGCAAACTCAAGCTCATTTGATTTCAAAGACTGTGCTTTTCCTCTTGATACTGGGATGCCAACTCTGATAGCATTTCTCAAAAGCATATCTACTGTTTCAATGATCATGGCAAAAAGCCTGGTGGATATATCTGGAGAAAAAAAGAAAAGGATAAGGTGCTCGTGGGATCTTTGTTCTACTTAATTCATATTCCACTGTGTCAACTATATGTGTGAAAATAATGCATTTTTATTGTAAAAAGTGTAAGAAGTCAAAAGATTGACTTGCAATCCTACCACCTACAGATATTGATAGCCTCATTTGTTCCCAGCAAAAATAAGCAGAGCCAAACATCTGGTCCCATTGAGTATCTCTTCCATTGCCACACATATACAATACCCACTTTGGGTCATCAATGTACTATAAGTAAGCCTTCTGGTTTTGGCAATAACCACTTTTAATCTCATGTTGGTACTCAAGAAACATTTTTGGCAATTATGTCTCCAAACAAAACAGCCACTACCACCACAAACCACAAACCAGCATTAAATCATTTAAGATACATGGTGAGTTTAGCATAATGATTGCATGTGGGAACAACTTTTAAGAAGTTAACATTTGGAATTCTAAGGTCTGTACATCTTATCATTTTAAATTAATTTATCTGTTCATGTGCATTGGTGTTTTGCCTGCATCTATGTCTATGTGACGGTGTGGGATTCCCCTGGAACTGGAGTTACAGTTACATGCTGCCATGTGGGTGCTGGGAATTGAACCCGGGTCATCTGGAAGAGTAGCCAGTGCTCGTAACCATGGAACTATCTCTTCAGCCCACATCTTATATTTACAAGCATTTCCTTAAGAACATTTTCTATAAATGTAAAGTTGTGTCCTGTCAGACAGAAACTTTGCTTTAAGAGAATTGCCATTTTGGGCAATCTATAAGAGGCTCTAAGACACAGGAAGAGTAATTTTTACTGCTCTGAGCTTAGCTGAGCATCGCTCCAGACCTCATTTGTCTCCCAGAGAGCTCAGAACCCAGGGCCTTGGAAAGTGTAGCTCAGTGGTAAGGGGGCTTGCCTGGCATTTGCCTGGCTAGCTCGTGTGCCAGAGGGTCTTACTATGTAGCCCAGGCTGGCTGGCCTTGGAACTCAGTTTGTAGCTGAGGCTGGCCTCAAACCCTTGCTCATCCTGTCTCAGACTCCTGAATGCTGGGCTTGTGGGCTTATGTTATGCTCTCCTCCCCAATTTACTCATCTCCAATCCCTTTCTTCATTTTCTAAATCTATTTGCCACTTGTTCCCTCTCATCAGAGAGAAAATGAAGGCTGTATGAATGAACACCCTCTTAGACTCAATCACCTCTCCCACCACTATGTCTGGGGAGCAATTCGCTAACAGTCAATCATTTGACATCCTACATTACTAGGTCTTGCTACTCCCTCTCAATATATACAGCCTGCACTTTTCTCCAGAAGATGTCTGGTTTCAAAGTTTTGCTCTGTCCCCGAGGCCCTGAGAAGCGAGGAACCCCAATCAAATCCAATACAAGCAGTGGCTTAACTGACCAGTCCTCGGTCTCAGCAATGCATTATTCACCTTTATCCTGCACCATGGAAATTGGGAAGTTACCACAATTTTGTTTAAAGTTGGGTTTGGACTGTTAGACTTCATTTCTTCTTCATTAGCCTGTTTAACTGACACGGCACGAGTTTTAAAACCAAACCAAACCTGGGCTTGTGAATAACTCTGTGTGTAGGTGTTTGTCCGGCAAGCCCAGCAACCTGAGGTAGTATTCTGGCTACTCTTATGTCAACTTGACCCACAAAATATTTATTTGAAGAGGGAACCTCGATTGAGAAGATGCTTTCATAAGATCCAGATGTAGGTCATTTTCTTAATTATTGATCAGTGGGGGAGGGTCAGGCCATTGTGGGTGGTGCCATCCCTGGGCTGGAGGTCCTGGGTTCTGTAAGAAAGCAGGCTAAGCAAGAAATGGGAAGCAAGCCATTAAGCAGCATTCCTCTGTGGTCTCTGCATCAGCTCCTGCCTCCCGGTTCCTGCCCTGCTTGAGTTCCTGTCCTGACTTGCTTTGATGATAAATAACAACATGGAAGTGTAAGCCAAATAAACCCTTTCCTCCCCAACTTGCTTTTTGGTCATAATGTTTCAATGCAGCATAGAAACCCTAACTAAGACACGTAGATTCCAAATCTAGGGCAAAAGTTATAACAGGTCAACATTGCTAAGTTAAAGTGATAAAGGATTGCATAAATTTGGCAAAGACAATGAATATTCTATAGCAATTAATTTTGTAGCCAATCATGGTGGTATATTCTTTTAATCCAAGCACCTTGGAAGCAAAGGCAGGTAGATGACTGTGAGTTTAAGGGTTAGTCTAGTCTACATCATAGAGCTGCAGGCCAGCTAGGGCTAAACAGTAAGTTGCTGTCTCGACCACAAATAAGCAAACAAATAAATAAAAGAATATTTATTTATTGAGGGCTGTGAGATGGTTCTGTGAGTGGGTAAAGGAATTTGTTGCCAAGCCTTTTAGTCTGGGCCTGATCCCAGATCCACATAGTGGAAAGGGGGAAATAATTCCTGCAAGTTGTCGTCTGACTCCACATGTAGGCAATAGCATACACCCAACATGCATACACATATATATGCAAGGTAAATAAATGTAACAAATGCAAATATTTTTATTTATATATACACACATAAATAAATGCAATTTACAAATTAAACAATATCTATTGAGACAGAAAAATCTTTACAACGTGAAGCTGTCATAAGTGTGCATAGTGTATCATCTCTGTGAGAAAAATGTACAAGCATGCATAGAAACTAGCAGAAACAGAGTTTTCAGGTGTTTTCCAAAAAGTTCTTCATCAGATATGTGCCAGTTCTGCAAACAGGAGAAAGCACAAGGGCTGTGGCGAATGAGGGGAGAGGGAAGGAACGCGGGCCACAGCCCTGGGCATGCCCCTTCTGAAAGAGAGGCCTGGATTTTCAGAACTCAGTTTTTCTCCCTTGCCAGTTTCTTGCTACTAGATGTTTTGGCAGCCATTAAGAAAACAAATAACAAATGCTGGCAAGGATGTGAAAAAAAAAGGAGCCCTTACCCAATGTTGGGAATATAAATAAGTCCACTGTGGATAGCAATGCGGAGATTCCCCACAAACTAGAAATAGACCTGCTACATGACTCAGCTATACCACTCCCAAGTATTGCTCAAAAATGCCAGGTCAGCAAATCTCAGGGGAAAGTGCACACCCACTGTATTGCAGCACGGTTTACAACATCTGAATTAGGGAACCAGCCTATGTGTACACAAACAGAGAAGGACTGAGAGACTGGAGAGATGGCACGGTGAGTAGGAGGGCTTCCTCTGAGAGTACAAGGACCTGCCCTGGAACCTCTAGCAGAGCCGGACATAGACTTGAGTGCCTGCAACCCCAACACTGGGGAAAAGATGAGTAGATCCTCTGACATCTCACCATGCGGCCAAAGTCCTAGCCAAGACAGCGAGCTTCGGGTTCAGTGAGAGCCTGTCTCAAAGCAAAAAAAAAGGACAGCCTCCAAAACAATGCAGAGAAACCCTGTCTCGAAAAACAAAAAACAAACAAACAAAAAATTCCTAAAGAAACAAAAATAGATTCTTTAGCTTTCTGGGTGCCTAGCAAATATACTCCTTGACATATTCTTATGCATTTAGATTAAAACAAGGGGAGAAGGCCCAAAGATGTAGCTCAGAGACACACTTAGCACACGCAAGGCCCTGGTGGATACCCAACACTGGAGGAGGTAAAGGAGGGAAGAAGGGAAGGAGGGAGGGAAATTTTCTGTGTAAAAGAAACCATACTCATAAATTTATATTTCTTATGGGTTTTGTGGACCTGTGAACAAATTTTGATGGCTGAGATCGAAAACTTTTTGTGACTTGTCTAGAAGGTGCTTTAGTTTATCTATGCGGCTCTATCATTTTGGTTTGTCCCCAAACTCACATACTGTATGGGTGGAGCCTTTGGGGTATAGTAGGGACTGTGAAGCCAGGAGGCTGGGAGGGAGACCTGAGTTTATTTGCTTGCTCTTTCCCTGCCATGGTATGATACAGCCCAGTACCTCAATATTCAATTTCCAATTCTCCGGCAATGTAAAAAAAAAGTGACCTCTGTTTCTTATAAACTACCTAAGATCTGGCCTTCTACAATAGAAGCAAAAGCTGGGACTACAACAAAGTGTCTAGGTACAGTTAATCCTGGAAGCAGCATTAACCCTTTCAGGTGCATCTGTAAATGACCACCACAGGGCACTCCATGCTTCTGCATTTACTCGCGGGACTTAGGAGTAAACTTCTAGAATGACTGAGCTAATCAACCTAACAATTTCCCCACCACTTTAAAAGCAAGGGTAATCATATAAAATCACAGATACCAATGAATGATCATGACGAAATAATGCTTAACAAAAGGAAACACTGACAAACTTGAATAGAATAAAAAAACGAGTGAAACATCTGTCAACACATTACATGTATAATGTAATAGAGAACTAGACAAAGGTGTTCCTGTAGTGGAAATTACACTGAAAACAAAGTCAACAACTCTTGTAATAAGTGTGTGTGAACAGACACTTTGAGAAGTACCTGCTCTGGGGCCGAGGGATGCAGCTCAGCAAGTGAAGCACTTGTCTATCATACAAGAAGACCTAGCACCGCAAAAACTGGGTATGCTGGTAGATATGCTCATCCCAGCACTTGGGAGGTGGAGGCAGGAGTATTACACCTTCAAGGGCATCCTGGACTACAGTGGGTTCAGGGACAGCCTGGGTATGAGATTCTGCCTTTTAAAAAAATGAAAAGCATTTGCTCTCCCAGTCCAATTAATGACTACACCCCGTGTCAGCTGTAACTTCGGTGAGCTGGAGTAGTCACACCTGGTCTTTCCATAGCTGGTGTATCACCCTCCAAGCCAAAAAACAAAGTTCACATTTCACATCCCACGTACTGACGATCTTTAGCTCCCAGGACATCATACAACACAGAACTAAAGGCTGCAGCACCTAGGGGCCGACACACAGGACAAGGCAGCCCCAAACAGCGTGAACCCTGATTGTGCACACCACGAATCTCCTGCTCAAAGGATCACTACATGGAAGACAGCGCCATTTGACAATAAGAAGGTTTTCTTAATAAATTATAGTTTTTATTTTTCACAATAAAAATGACAAGTGACATGTAAAGGACAGTACAGTAATACAATAATAGTAACAGAATAATAGGCTAGCTATCTCACAGAGATAGAAACCCTCGAAATACTATTATACTAATTTTTAAAAATGACTATTAAATAAACATAGGAATAATACTTTTAATCAAATCAACAAATCAAAATTGAGCACACACCAAAACATCATCTAGAACCCATAAAGTAGTACTTAAGGAAAAGGAAAATCTGGAATTCTACATAGGAGACTCTTTATTGAAATCAAGGAGGTTCAAATCCTGAAACAAAAAAGGAAAAGAAAGTTAAACAATGTTGCCATGGGTTACACAGACACATGGGCCTCACGCATGCTAGGCAGGGCTCCACCACTGAGCTAGTTCCTAGCTCAGGATAGATACTTGAACACTTTGCCTGCTCAAGACATTTTTTTCTTACTCTTATGGCACCTTTATACACTATAGAAAAGATCACAAGGGGGTGAGGCAGCTCAGTGGGAAAGCTGTTTGCTACCAAGTCTGATGAGATGAGTTCAATCTCCAGAAGGCACATGGTGGAAGGAGAGAACAGACTTCCACAGACGTACCACAGTAAGCATGTGCATTTTTGCATATACACACTAAATGTTACAAAAATAAAATTAAAAAACAACTATTTAAAAAGCATTGTTTAAAATTTTCTTTTATCTTTAATTATGTATTTATGTGTATTGGGGTGAGGTGTTCATGTAAGTGCAGCTCCTCTAAGAGTCCAGAAGCGGGTACTGGAAACCCTGGAGTAGAGCTATGGGCAGCTGTGAACCACCCAAGTTGCTACTGGGAAGTAAACTGAAGTCCTTTGGGAGAGCACTATGTGCTTTGTAAGAAAGGATTTGAAACCAAGTGTGGTGGCTTATGCCTGTTATTCCAGCACTCAGGAAGATGGGACAGGAGAATGAAGAGTTTGAGACTAGCCTGGGCCATACAGTAAGTTTCAGACCAGCCTAGACTATATAGAGAAATTTGGAAACTTTTTGGACAGTTAGTTTTGTATTTTGCCAGGATGGTTACTATTCATCCTATAACAATAATATATACTTAATAATTTCAATATAAGAAAAATAATCTACCTATTAGGCAAACGTAATGTGTTACATTCTGTTTATATACCACAACACAGAGAGCAATGTCTTTTCACTTCCTGACCTCTACAGCAAGTCTCTGGGATGGAATTCTATGGTGGGGTCTGGACATCTAACCTGCCGTTCTTCAGCCTGTCTGAGAGTAGAGATGGACAACTGAATGTGGGCTTTAATATAAAAAGTACCATACATGCTGCCCTCATGCTTTAAAAGACTTCTCATTATAGAGAATGAAATGTACCAGGAAACGGCTTTCCTGACCTACCCATGTACTTGTGAGGAAAACCAGACAGCATTGGAAAATTATTAACTAGACCAACATATTAAATGGACCAAATCTTTGTAGTTATAGTTATCTAACCATGAAGACTACAGTACATCTCATTCTAGTCAGTAGACCTATTAAAAACTGAAACCAGTTAGTAACCTCATGAGTAGAGCCAATCTTTGGTACTTAGAGATAGTGAGGGTTTGGATGTTCTAGCCTTTGGATTTAGGGAAGAAGAAAGGGAAGGCTAAAAGTCCTATTAATATTAGACATGTCGGTACATGCTTATAACCTTAGGATTTGATGGGTGCAAAGAGGAGGGCCAAGGAGTCTGCATAGGAAACTGCAAGAGCTTGAGCAGCATGACCTCTGTCAGTGGACTGGGGACACTCATACACATGTGGACCTGAGTTTGCTGATACAGGAGGGGAAAGGTTTAGAGCACTAAGTCATCTCTCTAGTCTTCCTATGGCTGCACCACCTCACAAGCCCATGAGAAACACAGAGGTCAGGTGATTTTATATAGATAGATAGATAGATAGATAGATAGATAGATAGATATAGACTCACACACACACCACCACTTACTTACTGCGCCTCTCTTTAAACATTTATGGATACAACTGTGTTTTTCTAAACGTTTCATTAGTAATGCTGAGTCTTGTAAGTCTGGTTCCATAATAGTCAATGATGTAACTACTTCCATCTGAAGGTCCAACAATCTACAAAAGATAAAAATGTAAGGTTATTCCTTTTACTTGTCCAAAGATACTGAGTTTCTTTTTGCTAGTAGGCAATAAAATTATTTCAATAGCAAGAAGAAGAAGAAGAGGAGGAGGAGGAGGAGGAGGAGGAGGAGGAGGAGGAGGAGGAGGAGGAGGAGGAGGAGGAGGAGGAGGAGGAGGAGGAGGAGGAGGAGGAGGAGGAGGAGGAGGAGGAGGAGGAGGAGGAGGAGGAAGAAGAAGAAGAAGAAGAAGAAGAAGAAGAAGAAGAAGAAGAAGAAGAAGAAGAAGAAGAAAAGTCTAAGAAAAACTGGAGCAGGTGAGGTGAACGAGAAGGCCTTGGACACGAGCTGGGTTTCCGTCTGCATCCTGTGCCCCTGACTCTGCCTCCCGGCCCCCTCCTCCGCTTTTGTTCTCCCTGCAGGCCACCAGCACAAGAAGCATGCACTCCCATCTCGGGCTTCTCCCCGACTATTTACACACCAGTTCCAGGGGGGACTTCACTGACCTGTTTGTAGCTTCTGACTAGGGTTGGGTAATTACCACACCCAAGGAAATAAAATCTAGTATGACTGACTGTACAGGCCAGACTCCTAGAAGGAGATGGAAGGAGAATTAACTACGACTACCTAGAAGGCAAAAGGAAGAGGTTGAGCAAACACACACATGTTGGGACCAGAGAGAGGGCTCAGTGCTTAAGAACACCTTCTGCTCTTGCAGAGGACCCAGGTTTGGCTCCCAACACCCACACAGAGGCTCCCAACCACCTGTAGCTCTAGTCCCAAGGGATCCTACGCCCTCTTCTGGTCATGGGCATGCATGCACATGATGCACAGACATACATGGAGGTAAAACACCCACATGTAAGTTACAGATTTAAAATGTGTCTATAAAAAACACAATCATCTCATCCACTGTTAACCACATCTGTACAGCTAACAAGGTTTCTATATTTTACGTTTAAGACAGAAATCCACACATGTGGCCAGTGAAACAACCCAGCAAGCATAGAGCTTTCTTACATAGAGCTTCCTTACATAGAGCTTCCTTACATAGAGCTTCCTTACATAGAGCTTCCTTACATAGAGCTTTCTTACATAGAGCTTTCTTACATAGAGCTTTCTTACATAGAGCCTGCTGACCTCAGTTTGATCTCTGGAGCCTACATGGTAGACAGACAGAAACAACTCCAGCAACTTGTCCTCTGATGGCTACATGTGTGCATGGCATATCCCTCCACACATAAACAAACAACAAACAAAACACCTGTAGCCTTACAACAGTAGAAAGAATTTACTAAGTTGTTACTAAGGATGCATTGATAGATTATTAGAGTCTATTGGTCTTGGGGATAGTGGGAGAACTTTTCGTGTGGGAAGAAATGCAACAGGCTGGCAAAATGCTTGTGCTGAAAGAGGTTCTTTCCAAACAGTATGCATGTCTATCAATCAAGGTTGTGTCAGCCTGCATGTCAGTTACAATGATCTCATTTTCCAGAACCTTTACATAAAGGCATTTCATATTTTAAGTAAAAACAAAATTATTATAGTTTGTGAAGAGCTTATTCCTTTCTTTATAAAATAAATGACATTTAAAATTTGTATTTATAGTCTGTTTGGTACATTTAAAAATTGATGTAGCAGTTTTATTTAAACATGTCAATATTTGAAATGACATCCTACGCAACTACTTAAATTTATGATGGAAAACTTAAATGTCAATGTAAAAATATGCAGAGGGTACAGACTTAAAAATATTCTTCTAAGGGTTCTACAACGAGAGTGAAGAAAGCTGCCATGAGCACTTCTTGTTTAAAAGTGATTTCAGAGCTGGGTGTTGTGATGTAACCCTGTAATCCCAGCACTTGAGAATACTGAAAGTGAGAGCAACACAAATTCAAGGTCAATTGTAGTTACACAGCAAGACTGTCTCACAAAAATAAACAGGATCTGCAGAAATGCAACAGCTTTTAAGAGCAGCTGTCTCTCAGGCAGAGAACCTGGATTTGGTTCCTAGCACCTACAGGGTGGTTCACAGCCATTCACAACTCCAGTTCCCAGGGATCTGACACCCTATTTTAACATTAGAGCGCCAGGCACACATGTGGTAACCATACATACTTGCAGGGAAAACATTCCTACACATAAAATAAACAAATCTAAAAGATAAAAACAAAAAGGACTTTAGTTTTAAAAAACATAAGTAGTTCATTCAGCCTCAAAAACTAAAAAGAGTAGATGCAGCAGTAGGCAGATAAAGTTGTAGATACTTGGGGGTGGAGTTTGAGGCAGGAAAACACAGGAATTGAATTGTTTGGACACAAGAACTTGAGGCCAGACATCTCATAAAAACAAAAACAACTCAACAAATACTAATTCCACACAATTCCAGGAAGACACCAGACATTCTGCATGTAACAGTGGCTAAGATACCATCCTTGCCAACAGGGAGCTTCCTCTAGTAGATTGAACTCATACTTCCATAGCTAGACACCAAGTCAGCTGCTGCTATGCATGTTGACTTAATTCCTAAAGAGTAAATTAACTTGTCTGACATTTATGGATGTTATGTATAAGTTTAAGTAAAAATTAATGCAGCTGTGACTTTTTGTGGCTAGGGTCATGAAGAATTACTAGGGGCATTAAGCTAAGAGAAAAATGAGTAATTAGAAGACAACATATTCTGAGACTTTATTAAGAAAACAAAAAGTGAAGCTCAGCTAGTGGAAAGAGGCCAAAGAACACTGTAAAAACGCATCTTGCTGGAGTACGTGATCAGACTGGAACTGAGCCTTTGTTCTATTATCCTTTTCCTCCTGTACTTCTTTTCTTGATAATTACATTTACTCAATGAAGAAAAATATACAAATGTTAGAAATAAGGTGATACATGATTGGGTGACTTTTTAATAGCATGCATTTCTAATAAGCCCATCTGCAGCTCATTTTAAGCACAGATATTTTATGATATTTAGTCACTAACTTGTAGAAAATGCTACATGTTAGTGTGTTGGTCCCCTTCCCTTTCCTGTACTGAAGACAACACTCACTCTATTTTCACAAATGTAGCTCAATGTTATATATAACAAGGCAATCATATTATAGCATTCATTTTCCCTTAAGCTATTTTTTGTTTGTTTGTTTTTTGAAACAGGGTTTCTCTGTGTAGCGATGGCTGTCCTGGAACTCACTCTGTAGACCAGGCTGGCCTTGAATTCACAGAGATCCACCTGCCTCTGCCTTCTGCATGCTGGGATTAAAGGCATGTGTCACCATTGCCTGCCTCCTTAAGCTATTTATGTTAGTTCTCCAAAATTCTCTGTCATATAAGCAGATGAATAAGAGGGTCAACATACTCTAAGAAACACTTGGGGGTCAATGAGATGTCTTTGTGAATAAAGGTACTTGTCACCTAGCCAGACAGTCTGAGTTCAATTCTTGGAGCCCACAACGAAGAGAGAGATCCAATTCCACAGAGCAACTGACCTCTATATGTATGCCATGGCAAGTGGCTATACACACACACACAAACACACACACACACACACACACACACACACACAAATGTCTTACTACAAAGCCCTAAAGTCACAGAATTCAAACTCAGTAGTTTCCTAAAGCTGCTGTAACAAATGACTACACATTTGGTAGGGTAGCAGACATTTAAAGTTCTGGAAGACTGAGCTACAAACTTCTGGAATCTGGTCGATTATCCCTCTGGATTTGGGGCCACAGAGTAAACTAACACCTTACCCCCCACCCCATATCAAGATCTTTAACTTGCCTGACTTAGAAATAATACTCACAGGTTACTTTGGCCTGTCCTGCCCATGGAAATGTCCATGGAGGTGGTCTATAGAGAAATTCTTGTTTTTTATCCTTGATGCCCTTGGTCTAATTCTCAACCTCACCCGCAACATACACTCATACCCACCCCTTACCCAATCTCCCACTCACAGATGACTATACACACAATAGGCACACACTGAGCTGCCATATGATTTGGATCTGTAGTTATTCTTAGAAATGTGACATTCTCTGAATAAATACCTACTTTAAATTTACCTAACAGTGGGGCTGGAGAGATGACTTAGCAATTAAAAGCATCTTTGAAATGATCTTTCAAAGCATCCAGGTTAAATTCCTAGTACCCATACAGTGGCTTACAACTACTACTTAATAGCTTTTCTCCTTGTTTAGATCTAAAATTATTCTGTCTTACAGGTGTACCAGAGTACACATTAGTGATGCTGGTTTGAAACACTCTGATTATGTACAAGTGGAAGAGGTTTCAATATAATCAAAACATTTTTTTCCTAAAAACAACAACAAAAACCAAACCAAACCAAAACCCAAAACCAAAAAAACTAATCTATCCCAGCACTCTAGAGGTAGAGGCAGGAAGATCAGGAGTTCAAGGCCAGCCTATGCTATGTGATACTCTGTCTCAAAATAAAAACAAAAAAAATGCATTAATTTTGGATATCTTAATTTGAACAAAACCAATAAAACATAACTTCATTGCATCTTCATTTAAAATGAGAAGTCCATCCTAACACCTATGAGAATAGGAGCCTTTGGCTCTTCATGCCTATACCTGTTCCATGATTAAAGGAGACAGGATCTCTAGCTGGTCATGTGGCTTGTGTGTAAAAGCAGGAAAATTCCAGCTTTAAAGCCAAATATTTGCTGGGCAGTGGTGGCACACACCTTTAATCCTAGCGCTCAGGAGGCAGAGGCAGGTTGTTCTATGAGTTCAAGGCTAGCCTGGTCTTCCAAACAAGTTCCAGGATGGCCAGGGTTGGAACTCAGAGAACCCCTGCATCAAAAAATAAAAACAAAAACAAACACCACAAATATTTTCCTTGCTAAATTCTTGTATCTTATTTGTCCATATGCTGCCCCCTACTCACAGAATAGAGTCAAATTCACTTAGAGTAACTGGCTTTAAAGCATGACAATAATACCAAGAGCCAGAAACTTTTGAAGAGTGGCAATGCCAAATGAGAAGGCAGAGCAAAACATAATGATTTAAATGCACACTGACACTCTCACTGGGGATACTAGTGCTCTGCAAATGCTAGCCTAAGTGTTGTGTGCCAATATTCATCTTTGCCTCTACTATAGGAAGCTTCCCGAGTAATTACAAGCAGTTTAGTATTTAACAGAGAACATCTGGTGGCACTTTTAAGTGTTTAAGGACAGCATCTCATAAACTGTGTCAGTCACCAAACCCACTGTAGCATGAGAAGGTGAGGCTGTCAGGAGAAACAGAAGAAATCTCAGGAGTAGAGAACATAAACTCTTACGGACTTGGTCTTGCTTGAGGCTATCCCCACTAAGAGAGCTTGTGCAGTACCCACACCTTCCTTTGTTTATCCAGTAAGTAAGCTAGATTACCATTTCTGTCATCGCACAGAGTGTAATCTGTACAGCGTGCCTGTGCACTGCGAAAGAAAATCTTACTTCTGCCTCCAGAATGTTTATATGTGTACCAGAGTCCCATCAATGTATCCTATGCTAGTAACTGACAAGATGATCATGATTGTCAGGCAAATCAAATCTACATCAGAGATATAATTGTAACCTTCCTTAGAGACTCATTACAAAGTATGTTATAAAATTATAAAGATTTCAGGAAATTCTTCAGTAAAGAAATATCTAACTCATTTGAACCCATATCTACAGTCACCTTTGGACATGCAGTCCTTTTTGAAATAAGTATCCTATGGCTTTTAGAGCTACAGTTTGAGCTACAGTTTGAGAAATGTTTACTGAAACTGCAACCAGATCCCTTAGGCCCAGCATCTGCAGAAAACTTGTAAAGCATTCCCCTTTGTTTCCTAATGCATCTGAAATGTCACATACACCAACAGAGGACCACCAAACACCATGGTGACTGTAAAGGTATGTTTAGGTTCCAGGCTGAAACTAACTTACCTGCATTGAAATAAGAACGAAATCAATTAGGCTCCCAATTCCACAAAATCCTACGGTGCAAAACTTTAGCAAGCCTAGGAAAGCACAAAGGAAAGTAATTTACAATCTAGAAAGTCTTGTAAGTACTTAAAATGTTTCTAGCTTCATACCAAGTTATTATATACTCTATAGTATGATGATAAAAAGTAGAATCTTTAAAAAAAATCAAATCTTCACCTAAAAATACAAGAATATTTTAAAGGAACCTCTCATACAAAAAAGTCACAAAATAGTTTAGTAACTTGTATAACAACAAAAGGTAATTAAATAGAAAAACAACATGCTCTGTAAAACTTTTTAAATGTTTACCTCTACCCACACCCAGGTCCAGGGTAGAGCTCCATGTGTCTGTCCAGCAGGCACAGTGAATACAACATCACAAATAATAGGCCCTCAGCATCCCGGTGATAGTAGCAAAGCCCTTTAGTGGTCTGATCAGACAAATACATCATGTGATACAGGCTTAACTGAACAGAGTAGGAAGTTCAATTCTATACTGTCAAGCCACAAAAATGTTGAAGAAAAATAATGATCTTGTAAAATTCCAAAATCTGGCCAGACAGTGGTGGCACATGCCATTGATCCCCAGCACTCGGGAGGCAGAAGCAGGAGGATCTTTGTGAGTTCAATCTGGTCTACAGAGTAAGCTCCAGGACATCCAGGACTACACAGGGAAAAACAAAAACAAAACAAAACATTCCAAATTTGATTAATAATTCAAGTATCTATAGTTTATCTTAGATTTTTTAAGCTCCCGTTTATTAGTTCTATAGTTAAAAATCAAGAGTAGCTGTGCACATTTTTAACCCTACAGATCTCCAGGAGTTTGAGATCAGGTTTTTTTGTTTTTGTTTTTTGTTTTTTGTTTTTTTTTTTGCATCAACAGTTAAGAGCACTGACTGCTCCTGAAGACAACCCAGATTCAGTTCCCAAGATCCATGTGGTGGTTCACAACCATTTGTAAACCTAGTTCTAGCGGGCCTAACACCTTCTTCTAACCTCCAAGGTCACCTGGTATACACACTATACACATATATACATGCAGGCAAAACATTCATACACACGAAGTAAAAATAGTTTTAAAGACAATCCTTCTCAAATTACTCCATGAGACAGAAAACAAAGGAACACATCTGCACTCTTTCAACAAAGCTAGTATTACCCTGCTACCAAAACCAGACGAAGGCATACCAACAAATAGAGATCAATTTCCCCAATGAAGAAAGATGCAAAACTGTTCAATAAAATAGACACAGACTAGCTGGGCTTTGGTGGCTCACACCTTTAATCCCATTCAGGAGGCAGAGGCAGGCAGATCTATGTGAGTTCGAGGCCAGCCTGGTCTACAGAGCGAGTTCCAGGACAACTTCCAAAGCAATACAGAAAAACCCTATCTCAAAAAACAAAACAAACAAAAACTGCACACAGACTAATCAAGAGCACGTCAAAAAGATTATTCACCATGAACAAGTTGACTTCATAATAGTAACACAAGAATGGTTCAACATAAGCAAATCAATAAGTATAAGAAATCACACAATCACATCAATAGATGTAGAAAAAGTTTTAACAAAAATCCAATGCCTTTATGATAAAGGTCCTATGAAGACATTAAGAATGGAGAAAATATACCAACTCAATAAAAGTTGTCAAAACTTTTTATGACAAAACTATAGTCAACAGCATTCGAAATGGAGAATGTGAACACTTGCCCTGGTTCAGGGACAAAAGAAGGGTACTCATTTTCCTGTGTTATTCAATGCAGTTCTTAAAAGTTTTGGCTAGAGCAGTAAGACAAGAGAAGGAGATACCGGGAGAACAAGTAGAAAATGAAGATACCAGAGCATTCTTTCGTACAGATCATATGATTCTATACATAAACAATCCTAAAGACTCTACCTAAAAAACTCTAAGTAACAATTTCAGAAAAGTGGCAGTGTAAAAAAAAAATTAACACAGAGCCAGTTGTGATGGCTCACAGTGGTAGAATATGCAAGAGGAAGTAGGAAGATCAAGAGTTCAAGGTCATCCTGGGCTACAAAAAAAAAATCAATATAGAAAATAGGTGTTTTCCTGTATCCTCATTCTGAGCTGCTTCAACAAAAAGTAAAATACCTTTAAATGGGTGTAATCAAGAGAGTACATGACCTGTTCAACGAAAATTTAAAACACCAAAGGAAAAAACACTACTAGGAAATACTAGAAAAAAAAAGAGCTCCCATGCTCAGGGACTGAAAGAATTAAAATTATGAAAGAGGACATACCAAAAATAATCTAAAGATTCCAAGTAATCCCAATAAACTCACTATGTGGTTTTTCATAGACACAGAAAACAACAAAAACAAAGCTATGTGTTTTTCTACATGTATGTATGTGTAGTATATATGCACAGTCTGCTCAACTACAAGTACACGTGTGGAGGCCAAAGTTAACATCAGGAGTCTTCCTCTAATAGTTCTCCATTTGATTTTTTTGAACCTGGGTCTCCTGCTGAGTCTGGACCTCACCATTTCAACTACACTGGCTGGCCACTATGCCCCAGGGATACATTTATGTCCATCCCAACCAACTCACTGCCCTCGAGTCCCACTCCCTGGGGCCATAGGCATGCCTTCATTTGTCCAACTTTTACATGAGTGCTGAGGATCTAAACTCTTGTCCCCAAGCCTGCACAGAAAGCAGTTTACCTGCTGATCCATCTCCCTAGAGCAGGAAGAAAAATCTCAAAATTTGTATGAAAGCACACACACACACACAAATCTCAGACAGCCAAAGCAATCATGAGCAAAAAAGAATATTGGTAGAAGTATTACCACACCTGATTTCAACTTAGTGCACAAAAAACAGACACACTAGTCAACAGAATACAGTAGAGGACCTAAACTAACGAAACTATAGTAACCTCATTTAAAAAACAAAGACATAGAAAATACACATTGAAGAAAAGACACCCTCTTCAGCAGTGCTTGGAAGACTGGATATCCATATGTAGAAGAATGAAACTAGATCCCTGTATCTCATCCTACAGAGAAATCAGCTCCAAGGGGACCAAAGACCTTAAATATAAGACCCAAATCTCTAAAATGGTTAGAAGAAAAAGTAGGGTAAATACTCCAAGATATAGGCATAGTCAAAAACTTTCTCAATAGAACTTCAGTCACTGAGGAAATAAAGCCAACAACTGATAAATTAAAAAACTTTTGTATAGTAAAAGATACCGTTAAGTGAATGAAGAGACAGCCTGTTATATGTAAGAAAAATCTTTGCTAGCTATGCATCTAAAGAGGATTAATATCTAGAATATACAAAGAACTCAAAAAACAAAATGACAAGAAACAACTCAATCAATAAATAGGCTATTTATAATAAATAAATAAATTAGATCTCAAAAGATAAAATCACTCCAGGCGATGGTGCACACGCCTTTAATCCCAGCACTTGCAAGGCAGAGGCAGATGGAGCTCTGTGAGTTCAAGGTCAGCCTGGTCTACAAAGTGAGTTCCAGGACAGCCAGAGCTGTTATACAGAGAAACACTATCTCGAGGAAAAAAAAAAAAAAAGATGAAATCAATGGCTAATAAGCGTGAAAAATCATTCAACTTCACAAGTCATCAAAGAAACGTGGATCAAAACTACTCCAGGGTTCCCTCTTTCCTCAGCAAGAATGTCAGCCATTAGAGAAAGAAAAAAAGAAATGCTGGCAAGGATGCAGACAAAAGGGAAACTTATACATGGCTAGTGGGATGCAAATAAGTCCAGTCACTATGGAAGTCAGTATATCTTCCATGTGACCCGGCTACACCACTACTGCATATTTATACAAAGGACTCCAACTCAACACACCACAGAGACGATTGCATATCCACAGTTACTGAAGCACTATTCACACAGTCAAGTTATAGAACCAACCTAGGTATCCACCCAACAACAAAAAAGTGAGTAAGAGAACTATAAGATGTTTACATAGATAGATATGGGTAAACACAGATATGTAATGGATTTCTTTTTATCCATTAAGAAGAATGAAGTCACGTCATTTGCAGGAAAATAGATGCAAGTGGAGAAAATTGCATTAAGTGAACTAAGCCAATCTTAGGAAGGCAAATATATACCCTCTCTCACTTGTGATTCCTAGATTTTAAACATATACATATATAATTGCATATGTACTTACACAACATGAATAATATGACATAAAAGGAAACATAAAATTGTTCAGGGAAACAAAGGATTAACAGGAGGGAGAAGGGTTGAGATAAGGGGATAAAGGGCCTGCAGGCATGTATAATAACTCAAAACTAAAATTTAAAACCTTAAGAGCTGGGAACATTGGCAGTGTTTGCCTTGCATGCACAATGCTCTGGGTTCGATCCCCAGCACCACATAATAGGGAAGTGATGGCACTATCTATTATTTCTGCACTTGGGAGATTGGCATAGAATTAATTAGAAGTTCATTGTTATCCTCATCATAGGTACATGACTGACTCAAATATATACACACAAGGAGCTGGAGGGACTGCTCAGAGGTCCAGAGCACGGGCCACGAGCAAAGGCTACTCTTCCAAAGAACTTTGCTTCAATCCCCAGCACCACATGGTGGCACAAAACCATTTGTAGCTCCAGTCACAAGTGATCTGATGCTGGCTTCTTGTCTCTGTGGGCATCAGGCAAATGCATGATGCAAGGACATAAGCAAAGGCAAAATACTCAAACACATAAAACTGCTTAAAATTTAAAATACCAAGTCAGGCATTGTGGCATTCACTTTTAATCCCAGCACTGGGAAGGCAGAGGCAGGAGGATCTCTGTAAGCTGAGGCCAACCTGATCTACATAGCAAGCTCCAAGACTTTGTAGATACTCTGTCTCAAAACAACCACAAAAAAGTTTAACACACACATGCACCTATATATGCACACACACACACAATGTTTTTAAATGTTTACTGCCAAGTCTGATAACTGAGATTGATCTCTAGGATGTCATAGTAGAAGATAATTGACTCCCAGGGGTGGTGTCCTGGCATTTGAGCACCTCACACACACAAATAAATACATGTAAAGTGAAAATAATAAATTAATGTTTGTAAAAGAACTGCTCCACATAGAGCTACAAATAGATAATCAATTCAAAACTGTTAAGAGGAGATGAGATCACCTCTCAATACACAAAGCCTCAAGCACATAAATGTACATGAGCTGGTTCCTTCTTCTTAGGGCTGAACATATGGCAGAATACTGCATGCACTGGGGTAGCACATGGCAGTAATTTAATAACAGCCATTAAAATCCAAAAAGTAAAGAAACACTGCTTATAATTTTCTCTCAAGCACTTCCTGGCTTCCTTTTTTTTTTTTTTTTTTTTTTTTTTTGGTTTTATGAGACAGGGTTTCTCTGTATTGTTTTGGAGGCTGTCGGTCCAGCCCAGCCTCGAACTTACAGGGATCCGCCTGCCTCTGCCTCCCGAGTGCTGTGATTAAAGGCGTGCGCCACCACCGCCCGGCCCTGGCTTCCTTTTTATATCTCTATGATGGAAGCTTTTTATGACAGGGCTTCTGTGTGTCTTGTTTATTCCTTCATCCTAAGTGCATATATCATTGCCAGGACCTAGTAGATAGTTACTATCTATTATATAAATGGATAAATCTCCCATTCCTAGTTTCTAAAGATCTCAGCTACTGTATGCAGTATTTCACAGAGTAACTCCTCTAGGTATGCTGTGGAAACATACCTTCTAACATTAGCATTATAAATTTAGAAATATCAGACACATACTGTGGTATGTGGGTAACATACACACACCTATCACAAACACAAATGTACACAAAATAAATAAATATAAATGCCTAAGAAAAATTTAATGCTACAAATGCTTTAGCTGAGCATAATGGTACATATCTTTAATCCAGAGTTGTTAGACTTAAACATAGGTAAGCATATGAAAGTGTTGTTTAATAAAACTTATGGTCAAACATAAATGATTCCTGAAGCATTAGTAAAACCATAGCAAGAGGGAAATGTACAGCTAGGACGGAAGGATGGAGAGGGTCTTAGCAACTGATGAAGACAGACTCTCATCCCAGCTCATGGTTATCACCAAAACATCAACCTGTCCTGAGAGCAGTTGTTGCTATTCTCGGGGCAACAGTGACAACTCTGGCAGAGGACATTCTTTTGGAGAGAAAGAATACACACTCATGAAAACCGCACAGCCACTGTGTGCCTAGCATAGCACAACAGTTCCAGGCAAGTGATGAGCCTTCACCCTCGGATGTCTTTTCCAAAAGGTGAATACGCAGGAAAGGCCAACATTGTCTGCTGTAGTTGAACTGCAGAACTGAACACTCTCAACCCAGAGAACAACGTACCCACTCAACTCACATGAATCTTGAACATGAAGAAATTTAAACAAGGATTTTCACTCTTTTCTTGCATTTTTGCATGAAGCATACTCACCTAAGGCAGGGTATCCGAGGTAAAATCGATCTGCTCCCAGCCATCCCAAAAAAAGAGATAATGCAACTGCCACTTTGTATGAATAGCCATTTCTGCATAGAATTAAAACATGAGTGTCACAGCCATGCATTGTCATCATATGACCATTTTAGAAAACAAATCCATATTACTTACTTGTTTAGTGACTCACTCATTTGTCTTTTGGAGACTATGTATCTAACACTATTCTAGGCTAATGGTATATATTAATGAATAAAAGTAACATAGATTGCTGTCCCTCAGAGACTTACATTTTACTGGTAGTAAACAAAAACCCAAACATATTTAAAAATCTAATTGTACAGTTTGTTAGAAACTTCCAGATTATGAAACAAAAAAAGGTGCAGCAGATGTTTACCGAATCCAGAATGCCAGGGTATACAGAAAGTGTGGAATGCTGGGGTACTTAATCTGGGTGATGGACAGTGATATGTGAGCAATGACCTAAGGATCGGTTAAGCCTTGTCAGTCTGCAGGAAGAAGCAGCTGCTGAGACACAAAGGAATGCTGCCTACAGAATGTTGCAGAGTGATTTTAATATGGAGTATAAATAGCATCGGATAGAGAAGTAATGATTGCTGGTAAATTCCAGTATGGAGCTACCCAGAATGTTCAGGGGACCCGGTCCTATGCTGGTTTTTGATCTGTCAGTCTGGGGTCCATGAGCTCCCCCTTGTTCAGGTCAGATGTTTCTATGGGTTTCCCCAGCCTGGTCTTGACCCCTCTGCTCATCATTCCTCCCTCTCTTACAACTGGATTCCAGGAATTCAGCTCAGTGCTTAGCTGTGGGTTTGAGTATTAAATATTATATATTTTCAAAAATATGCTAGAAAGAATAGAAAAAAGTCAATGGAAAGGGACAATGCAGCAAGTAGAGTGTGCCAGTGAGTCTATTCACAGCTGGCCTCCTGCTGCACACACACTGCATCCTGATGAAGGAAATACGACACTAAAACTATCCACTAACAGAGTCTCATGCTCTGATTCAATGCTCATCAGAAAGTTATCTTAGGAATCTGTTGATTTTACTATGAAAGGGGAATAAATTGGTTAGTAGACTTGGGAGTGTCTGCTTTCCCTAATGATTATATTCATTATCAAAACTGACATCAATGCCTTATAACCATATATAGCACATCTCAGTCTCTCTCAGTCTAATCTACCCTGAGACACTATAAAGAAAATTCAGACTAATTTGGAAATTAATAGAGCGTAGTTACCATGACAGGCCATAACCACAAGGTCCAACCTGAGCAAGCTGGGATTTTTAACAGATGAATTTGTTAGTTGTGTTAAGGGCCATCATATTTTTCTCATACCAGCACTTACTATATAATCTGTTCTGTTATTTGGAATGAGTAAGGTAAAAATGTCAACATATAAGTTAAAAATTGAATAAATGATACCTACATGCTAGGAAACAATTCCTTTCAACAATTTTTATTTTGCTAATCCTTTCTTTTTTTCTTTCTTTTTTTGGTTTTTACGAGACAGGGTTTCTCTAATCCTTTCTAAGGATTCTGAAAAAAGTAGAAAAACCCAAACATGAGCTATTTCTTAACATGACTACAAATATGTACCATCAAATAAAATGCAACCATTTCGAGTTCTAATATATAAATAGGATGCCAGGAATGAAGGAAGGTAGGACAAGTAAATCATGTCATTAGTTCATAGCAGAAAATTTGAATGCAAGCTTTCTAGTAGGAAAAAATAAAATGTTCTCTAAATAGAAACCGTTCCTTTACTAATCCACATTTACCCAGCTTCTGAATTCTGTCTGTCTCATGTTACTCTTCATCTATTACAAAAAGTGAAACCAGTGTGTGATGGCTACTTCTGTCAACTTGACAGGACATAGAATTACCCAGGGGACAAACCTCTGGCCATGTCAACATAAGCAAGAGGATATGAATTATACTGGCAGGACTTCCTTTATCATGTCACTTTTATCTTTCACTCCACAAAAATCAAGAAGTAACATTTGATTTTCAGTAATGTACTTACACATTTCGGCAAGGTATGGGTTTGTAAAAACCAACTTCATTTCCAGTAAAATGTGTTTCATTACCGCTGTAATCCTTACAAATTATGTTGGGTGCTGGAAAACACTGAACTAAAAACAGAAAAAGTGAATTTTTTCCCAAGATTGGCAGAGCACAAAAGAACCTATTGACATTATAACAAACTACCTCCCATTGTAACAGAAGGCTTTAATTTAGGCAGGAAGTTAAAGAACTTTTTATATATGTATAAAATGCATTTATGTGGAAGATAAAAATAATAGTGGACTCTTCATATAATAACATAAATATCTCCATACTGTTTTAGTTGTGTGCATGGCCCATCTACTTCAGTCTCTAGCCTCTGATGACAAAATAAGAACTGTAAAATATTAATTTTTTAAAAATTTCATCTCTAAGATAAATACTTGAATTTTTGTTGGCAATCCATTTGGTAATTATCAAGTTATTTTAACATAATCTATGCATTCATTGCTGTTTCCTCACTATGGATATAACATGATCTACTCCTGCTGTCGTAGCTTTCCAGCCACCATGGACGGTGTCTCCTGACACTGAGAGAAAATAACCTCTTCCTTTATCTATTTTTATCAAGCATTTTGACACAGCAACAAGGCAAGTAACTGGTGATACTATCATACCATAGACAGTGGCTTCCATAAATATATTTGTATATTGACTCCCTCTAGGTGTTATTTCAGCATTTAGCAATATCAATCCACACTCATAATCCAAGACATAATATTAAAAAATTAGTATAGACGTTACTTTGTGCCAGGCAGACACTGTCCAAAAGCCTCATGGTATAAAGATCTTTGGTAAGGATGACCTTATCTAGGTTATTTTTGTCTTTTATCTACTCCTTGTGGGTAAAAAGGACACTAAGATCACCTAAATCATAGGACAATTGTGGTTAAATATATAAAACTATGTATCATAAAGTATGTAGCTTATAGTAGGTACTCAATACATTTGTCTGTTTGAGATCAAATCTCATGAAGCCCAGACTGGTCTCAAGCTACTTGCACGTGGCCAAGATTTACCTTGAAGCCTCATTTCCCCACTTCCCTTTCAAGACATGTGATACCATGCCTAGCTTAAGAAATATCTGGAGATAGGTTCTTGGCAGATTTATCAAGTTAAGATAACATCATTAGAGTAGGCACTAACTTTTTATATAAAAAAGGAAAATAGCAGGCATGGTAACACCTTTAATCCTAGCACTGGGGAGGCAGAGGCAGGTGGGTCTCTAAGTTCAAGACCAGCCTGGTCTACATGGTAAGGTCTAGGCTAGCAAAACCTACATAGTGAGATCCTGTCTCAAAAACCAAAATAAAACAACAAAAAATTGGATACATAAAGGAAGGATGTGAAAGCTCACAGGGAGAATGCTGTGTGGAGATGGAGGCAAAAGATTGAGTTGATGCAATTGCTAGACAAGGAATAACAAGGATCACTGGCTGTCTTAGGTTAGGGTTTCTACTGCTCTGAAGAGACACCATGACACTGTGACCACCGCAACATTTTTTGTTTTTGTTTTTTTGTTTTTCAAGACAGGGGTTTCTCTGTGTAGCTTTGCAGACCAGACCAGCCTCAAACTCACAGAGATCTGCTTGCCTCTGCCTCCCGAGTGCTGGGATTAAAGGCATGCACCACCACCGCCCAGCTCATGACAACTCTTATAAAGAAAACATTTAATTGGGGTGGCTCACTTGCAGTTCAGAGGTTTAGCCCTTTATCATCATGGTAGGGCATGGTGGTGTGTGGGCAGACATGGTACTGGAGAAGTAGCTGAGAGTTCTAAGTCTTCCATGCAACCGGAAGTGATCTGTCTCCTTGGGTGTGAGTTGAGCATATGAGACCTCAAAGCCCACCTCCACAATGACACACTTCCACCAACAAGATCACACCTACTCCACCAAGGCCACACCTCCTAATAGTGCCACTTCCTTTGGGAAGGCATTTTCTTTCAAACTATTACACTGGCTACCATCAGAACTATGGAAGGAGGAAAAGGAAAAAAGGACCATGCTCTAGAGTCTGAGAGGAGCAGGGCTCTGTAAACACTTTGATTTAGATGTCAGATTCCCAGCCTCAACAGTCCACATAAATACAGATTAGAACCAATGCTACAAAACTGCCCTATGATCTCCACATAGCTGTGGCCTGAATGCACCTGCACTTACTTAGACATACATTGTCTTAGTTAGAGTTTCTACTGCTGTGATAAAACACCATGGGAAAAATCAACATGGAAGTTAAAGGGGTTATTTCAGTTTATAATTCCACAACACTGTCCATTACTGAGGGAAGTCAGGACAGGAACTCAAGCAAGGCAGTAACCTGGAGGAAGCTGATCCAGAGACCATGGAGGAGTATTGCTTACTGCTGTTGTTCGTGGCTTGTTTATCCTGCATGACCCACAGAAAATTGGGCCTTTCCACATCCATATCAATCAAGAAAATCCACCACAGACCAATCTGGTGGAGCAATTTCTTAACTGAGATTCCCTCTTCTAAATGACTCTAGCTTGTGTCAAATATTCCATCTCTAAAATAACGATAGCCCATCTAAAATATCCAAAATATCTCAACTGTAAGTCCCAGTAAAATCAAACATAAGTTACTTTTTTACTCCAAGGGGAAGAATCAGGGCACAGTCACAATCAAATATAAGCAAAACCAAAGTCCAACAGTGTAACGTAAAGTTCAGGGTCAGATTTCTGATAGGCCTCCAAGGGGTGGGACCTGGTAGAGGACATATGTCACTGGGCATGGCTCTGACTATCCTTATCTCCAGTCTGACCTGCCCTTTCTTCCTGGCTGCCAATATATGAGCAATTTTTCTCTAGCAGGCCTTTCCATCATAGTGTTTCTGTTTTACCACAAGCCTAAAAGCAATGGCGCCAGCCAGGCATGGACTGATACTTCCGAAACCATGAGTCAGAAAGAAACCTTTCCTTCTTTCACTTTTTCCTCTCAGGTATTTTATCACAGAACCAGAAAACTAACACACATGGGAAATGTTAGCTTATTATATGGCCTTGTTAGCTCTGTCTGCAGACTATCTAAAATCAGTTCTTCAAGAGACAACACAGTGGATCTTTCCTCTCTTTTCTGTTCTTTTGAGATAGGGTTTCTCTGTTGTAGCCCTGGCTGTCTTGGAATTTGCTCTGTGGGCCAGGCTGGCCTGAAATTTAAAAATCTAAGTGCCTCTGCCCCCAGAGTGCTGGGGTTATGCTGTGGTTTCAAAATCCCCTACTAGGCCCACTTCTCTCTTTCTGCTGCCAATTACAATGTAGAACTCTCAGCTTCTTCTCCATCATCATGCAACTGATAATGGGCTAAGCCTCTGAAAACATAAGCACACTTCCCTTCCAATTAAATGCTTTCTTTATAAGAGTTGCTATAGTCATGGTGTCCCAGCAATAGACCAGTGACTAAGACAGGAAGCATTACACATATTTAGAATGAGAGAAGCTCCCCTAAATCATTAGACTAAGGTATTATTCACTATCAAAAACACTTCTCTGACATTTTTTTGATAAGTGATACACATATAAAATCTTTACCATGCTGTTTTTATATGTATATACTAACATCCACGTTTCATGTGTATAATAGGGGCAATACAGTTCTGTGTAAACTGTTGAACCGTTTCATGCTCCTCTCTCACTACAGAACCCAGGCTGGCTTCAAATTCGCTATATAGACCATGATGGTCTCGAGCTCATGACTTTCCTGTCTCAGCCTCCTTGGTCCTGGGGTTATAGGTGTGTACTGCCATATCCAGCTTCAAGTTCTTTTCCAGTATTTAAAAACACATGTCCAAGGGTGGGCAGATGGCTCGGTGAGTAAGCACACTTGCTGCCAAGTCTGTTACCCTGAACTTGATACTTGGGAACAGGGTAAAAGGCAAGAACAAACTACTGCAAAATTTCCTCACCTCTACATATGTGCACTGCATATTACCAGCACCTACACCCACTGGTAACTCCAATCCTGGGAGATCCAATATTCTCTTTTGACTGCTACAGCCTCTTGCATGCACACAGTGTATATATATACATACATACATACATACATACATACATACATACATATGTGCACTCAGATACATACACATAATTTTTTTTTAGATTTTCAAATAAGAAAATGAAACATATAAAACTCCTGACTAGCTGGGCACTTGCAGTACTTTGAATAAAAATGCCCCCATAGGCTCATATATTTAAAAAGGATTAGATGTGGTCTTGTTGGAAGAAGTATCACTGGGGGTGGGATTTGAGGTTTCACAAACTCACGCTAGGCCCAATGTCTTGCTCTCTGCCTGTGGATATGAATGTAGCTCTCTGCTACTGCTCTAGTGCCATGTATGCTGCAATGCTCCTTGCGATGACAATAATGGACTAAACCTCTGACACTGTAAGCAATCCCTCAGTAAGAGTTGCCTTGGTCATGGTGTCTCTTCACAGCAACAGAACAGTGACTAAGACACCATACCATGGTGGTGCACACATTTAATCCCAGCACTGGAGAGGCAGAGGCAGGAAGATCTGTGAATCTAAGCCTTACACAGTAAAGACTTGTCTTAAAAAGAAATAGAAATGCTGGGTGGTGGTGGCGCACACCTTTAATCCCAGCACTCGGGAGGCAGGGGCAGGCAGATCTCTGTGAGTTCGAGGCCGGGCTGAACCGACAGCCTCCAAAACAATAGAGAAACCCTGTCTCGTAAAACCAAAAAAAAAAAAAAAAAAAAGAAATAGAAACAAAACAACAACAAAATCCCAACTAAAGAAATATATTTATATTTCTGTCACAAAACTTGGAAGTAAAAGACTAGAAATATTTAAAGAGATAGATATGTTTATCCTGACATACAATATGTATAAGAGTTATGTTTTCATTTATCAGTTAAAGATAAATAAAACTTAAAAACACGAGCTATGTAAGCAAATTCTAAAGTTTTAAAATAAATAAGTATAAAATAATTGAAACATCCCAGTTTATGTAATTAAGAAAAACTGCTTTTTAACTTAAAGAGTGACACTGGGCATAACTCTAGAAGAGCATGCAAGGATCCCCAGGTTCAGTCCCAAACACCAAAACTAGTTTATTAACCAACCAATCAATTGAAGTTCACAATTTTTAATTAGTTTCCAAATCTAAATTGTTCTGAAACTGATCATGTCTAACACAAATAAAACCTATTAACTAATTATCCTTAGGGGTTATCCATTGTTCCTTCAAATAGTTAAAATCTTACAAAATACTTTAAAGACAAGATTCTGGAAATCTTACCATGAGCTGTGTAGTTTGTACAGTTAACTGGTTCTTGCGTAGCATCATTTATTAATGGTTCTTTACAAATATATGTTTAAAAAGTTAAGGAAATTTGAATTATATTTCTAGCATAAAATACTACATTTTAAATGCCTTATAACTCTTGTTAATTCACATGTACAGAAAGATTCTGAGTTTGTACTAATCAACAAATTCAGATATAGATACACTGTTAAACTTGATGTGATGGTGCATGCCTTTAATCCCAGCATTTGGGAGGCAAAGGTATATGGATCTCTGTAAGCTCAAGGCCCACGTGGTCTACAGAGTGAGTTCCAGGACAGCCAGGGGTATGTGGGGAGACCCAGTTTCAAAACAAAGAAAACAAACCTAAATACACTTTAAGTGTTGCTTAGATAATAGTTGAAAATGAAATTATAGGAAAGTCATAAAAATACATTTGCATCAGAACATCAACTAAGGAATAAACACAAAGCAACAATCAAATTAAAAATCTTGCCCAGTGGTGGGGGCTCATGTCTTTCTTTAATTCCATCACTCAGAGAGGCAGAGGCAGAGGCAGGTGGATCTCTGTGAGTTACAGGATAACAAGGGATACACAGGGAAACCCTGTCTCGAAAAAACAAAATAAATGAACGAATAAATAGATAAAATAAAAATCTTTACTAAATTATTTTAAGTTAAAAAAATCAGCTCTGGATTCAACCAATTCACACTCAATTTCATGTAACACAAACAGGCAAGGAGGATAGGATACCATTTGTTATTCCTATGCCATAAAAGCACAGCTGAGGCTCAAACTTTGAGTCGTGTAAATGATTGGCAGCAAAATCAGGTATCTGGTTTCCAAGCCTTGGGCACTTTGCATGTGACTATAGGAAGGTGGCTGTTTTCTGTGTGGTCAGTGACTCCAATAGGGTTTTTAAGTTTCTTAAAAACGCCACTAAAAAAGCCGGGTGTTGGTGGCGCACGCCTTTAATCCCAGCACTCGAGAGGCAGGCGGATCTCTGTAAGTTTGAGGCCAGCCTGGTCTACAGAGCTAGTTCCAGGACAGCCTCCAAAACAATACAGAGAAACCCTGTCTCGAAAAACCAAAGGGGGGGACGCCTCTAATAGATGCTAAAACAATTAAGAATATTTTAAGTTTTATTTTCTTAAGAGTTTATGATTCACATCCCAATGAAGCAGGTATGGTACAAAGCTTGAAAGTAGCTGGACACTCATTTAGGACTTCTAAATCGCTACTGGAAATTTCATCTTTAGTTATGCCACTAAGACAATGTGCTGTTGTCACCATCTTAGAGTTCTACAGGCTTCTCACTAGGGTTCAAGGGTTTGTAATTAGCTCAGTTACTTCTTAGAAGGACACTGATGTTTTTCCTAAAATAATGCTAAATTCAGTATGTCAGATACTCCATGCATATTGGGATTAGCAAACTATGAGGTACTCTGTGAAAATCTAATGGATACCTCTCCTCAATTTGCATGAGATGTTACAGAATTTTCTTAATTTTAGCATTTTTCTTAATCTTTCTTGCTTCTGCAGGTTTGAGTATCTGTATACAAATGTTTGAGACATTGTATCAGTACTCAAAGTTTTGTTCAAACACAATGATTTGAGTATAATACACATTTCACCTTGCTTCTCTACTTCAATGGTGGTGTAATAGACAATTCACCTACTCCTAATTCAGACTGGTCATCTGTAAATAACAACAAGCAGAATTGCTGTGTTTTATTCATAAGAAAATAGAAATAAATAATTTGTTCATTCAAGAGCCTCCATCCCCAGCTATTGCCCAGCTGATGGCTTCTAAGTTACAGAGCCATAACTTTAAGGGTGTGGTCCCAGGTAAGTCAACCAGGCTTCAGTGGACAGCCACACAACTCTGAGGATATGAGCAGCAGAAATTTGACTTCCTAGGTTGTTTTTTTTTGTTGTTGTTGTTGTTTTGTTTTGTTTTTGAGGGGGGCGAAGTTAAGGGGAAGTGGGAGGGTTCTGGAAGGAGTTAAGGGTTGAAAAGTCGCGGTGAGTAGACTCAAAATCCATCGGATAAAATTCTTACCAAGTATTAATGCAAATGTTACATTTAAAACTATTTAGGAGGATCTTTTACTTTAAAACACATAATAATCGTTTGTCTCAGATCACAATGGGAAGCAGTCAACTGCCTGGCAGTCCATCTGAGGACGGTCCGTGATGTATGTAACGTTAATGACAAACGAGAAATATGCACTGGCTCACTAGTATCATTTGTCTCCTCTAACTCCTGCAAACTTTCAGGGAAGCCTCTATCAGTGTTTGCATTCCTAGTATCCGGGACAAAGCCGGCTGCTGGGTGCGTGTGTGTTTGAACAAGAGAGGGCACCGGTAAAACACAGCGCCAACCTCTCTCTGGTGGACCCCGGGGAAAGCACGCGGTGCTCGGCCCTTCGTCCCCACAGCCCTCCTCACCTCCCGGGGTCCACTGGTCACTAGCGCCGCAGCAGAGGCCACGGTCCCCATCCCACAGCCCCGGGTCCTGCTGAGCGCCGGACACTGGCGGCCTTCCGGAGGATATTGCCCTACTCTGAGGTCCTCACACTTGGGCGTCTCCTCGCTCCCGACGGCGCCAGAGGCAGCCGCGCCCCAGTGTCCCGCGGCGACGGTCACGAGCCACAGAATGCGGAGGAGGCCCGGAGGCCTCGCCGCCGGGGGAGCCTGACCTGCGAGCCAGGCGGCCGCCATGTTGGGCACCGCGTCCTTGCGCTTCCGGTTCCGCCTCGGAGATGAGGAAAGGTCTTAAAGGGGCCTGGCTCCAATGGGGGTAGTTTAGGTCTTCGGAAAGCTGCTCCCGGGGGTAAAATGGCTCAGTCACGTAGGCGAGATTTCTTTTTTAAAAAGGCACTACCTTTGATCCTGGAGGCCCCAAAAGATAGGAGTTTCCCTGTGGTTGGAAGAATTTGGATTTAGTTTTTTAGAAGTCGCTGAAAGCACATTCACCTTTGACCAAAGTGCAGTTACATGGATGCTGTACACATTATATAGTGTAACAACATATAGGACTGGAACTCAAGGACTATATAAAGTAAAAGGCTAAGGATCAGAATATCAGCCAGGCAGTTGTGGTGCACAACTTTAATCCCAGCTCTTGGGAGGCAGCGTCCGGCAGATGTCCCTGAATTTGAGTTCAGTCTGGTCTATAGAGTTCCAGGACAGCCAAACCTACACAGAGAAACACTGTCTCAAACAACAACAAATAAACAAATCAGAATATTGGGACTGGAGAGATGGTCAGGAGTTGAGAGCACTGCCTGTTCTAGGACTGGGTTAGGTTCCCAGCGCCCTGTAATTTCTGTAATTACAGTTCCAGGTGACCTAGGGCCCTCTTCTGGCCTCAAGCACTTGATTCAGTGGGTAAAGACCCTTGTTGCCACGTCTGAAAGCTAAATTCAATCCCTGGTTCCCACATGGTGGAAGTAGCAGATAAACACACACACACACACACACACACACACACACACACACACTACAAATAAATCTTAAAGAATCAGAATCAGTTACACATCTTACAAGATGATAAAAAGAAGCTTCCTATTTAAGTACTACTTGGACTGGTAATGTTCTAGTTGATTTTTAAGATACAACATAAAGAAGACCAAAGGACTAAAGGAAGCAGTTTTTGCTTCAGGTTTATTGAAATTATGACAAAATTAGATGGTTTCCTGCTGAGTGCAAGAATACTGCTGATCTGTGTATCAGTTTTAGTACAGATTTAAAACAATTACTTGGAACTGCTGATGCTTTGCTGATTAATCCCATTACAGAATCTATTTTTATGGTTTTAATGATTATCATTTTTTCTCTTCTAAGATATGTAAATTTTAAAGAATTAAAAGGTTTCTATAAGAAAGCAATGAAACTGTGAAATGTTTGACTCTTGTGCTGGGAAGGCGGTGGAGTTGCCTAGCATGCAGAAGTCCCTTGACTTAGTCTTTAGCATTACTTGGACAGAAAATTGACAGATTGATTCCTGATCCTTGGAGCCTGCTGGGCAGCCAGCCTATTCTAATTGGTTCCATGTTCATTGAGAGATCCTAGCTCAACACACACACACACACACACACACACACACACACACAGTGGATGGCTCCTGAGGAGTAAACCCAAGGTTCACTTCCAGCCTCCAAATGCAGACTGAATCATCTATTCTGGCATATGAAGCCCCCCCCCAAACAAAATAAAGCCCACTCTTTTTTTAAGCTGTTTTTTAGATTTCTTTTTATCTTGTGCATATGAATGTTTTTCCTGCATGCTTCTGTGTGTACCGTGTGCATGCCTTTTGTTTCCATTGGAACTGGAGTTATGGGTGGCAAGAGCACAAGTGCTTTTAACCCAGGAGCCATCTTTGCAGCTCCAAGACCTACTCCTACATGGTACATATATTTCATCTTGAACGCCATATGGAAGATCTAAAACGAATTTTATCAGAGTCCATCTCGTAAAACAAAATAAACCATCTCTTCTACATTTCCCTACCAATAATTCCTTCTATCAGATTCAGTACTTGGAACCAGGTGCTGGGGAGATGGGTCAGGCAGTGAAGTGCTTATTACACAAGCATGAGTACCTAGCACCCATGTAAAAAGCTGGGCAAAGTGATGTACATTGTAATCCTTGTGATGGGGAGGAAGACAGAGGTGGGCCCTTGGGATTTCTTAGCCTATTAGTCTAGCCAAATCTGTGAGTTCCAGGTGAATTGAAAGAACTGGTCTCAAAAATGAGGTATCGAAGTAATAAAGGAATACACACCTGACATTCACCTCTGGCCACCTCTTTGGACACATGTGTATATTAACGACATATGTACATTTTATACATAAAATTTGGGAACTTTTTTTTTTTTTGAGACAGGGTTTCTCTGTATTGTTTTGGAGCCTGTCCTGGAACTCACTCGGTAGACCAGGCTGGTCTCGAACTCACAGTGATCCGCCTGTCTCTGCCTCCCGAGTGCTGGGATTAAAGGCATGCACCACCAATGCCCGGCTAATTTGGGAACATTTTTAACCTTCAATTTTCTCCATGTTTTGCCACATCCCCATCTAATCATTAAACACTAATATCATTGTTTGTGTTTTTACTGGGGAGGCAAAGGGGTAAAACAGGATCTTGTTATGTAGCCGTGCTGTCCTGGAGCTTAATAGAGGGATTCTCCTGTCTGTCTCCTGGGCGAGGGAGCCACCACACCTGACAGACATCTACCTAGCTCTGCCTCCTGAGTGCTGGGATTCAAGGTGTGCTGTGTCACCACCGCATGGCTATCAAACCTGTATTTTCACCCTATTTCATGTTATCTTTGTTTACTATAATCTTTGCTACAGTGACTGCTTTTGTTTTATTATAGGCCCCATCTCTCCAAGGTCGTCCAATCCAGTTTTGCAGTTTCTAAACTAATCTCTCATTTTAAAAAAATTCTATTAAAGATGTTCAGGGATGAGTGAAGTAGCATAAACTGTTGTGCTGGTTAGTTTTGTGTCAACTCCATATAAGCTAGTATTCTGAGAGAAGGGAACCTCAATAAAGAAAATGCTTCCACCAGATCCTTCTGTAGACTGGCCTGTAGGGCGTTTTCTTAACTAATGATTGATGGGTGAGGACAGGGCCCAGCCCATTGTGGGTGGTGCCATTGCTGGACTGGTGTGCTATGTGCACTGTACACGTGAAGGTGTTTTGCTCTCATTGGGCTAATATAAGGCCAACTGGCCAATGGCTATGCAGAAAGAGGTTAAGCAGGGGACCAAGACTGTCAGAGTGCTGGGAAGAAAAAGACATGGAGTCTCCATTCAGATGCAGAGCAAGCAGGAGATGAATATGCCTAGCTGAAAAAAACATACCAGCAAGTGGTAGAGAACAGACAAGAAATATGAGTTCATTTAAGTTGTAAGAGCCAGTTAGTAACAAGCCTAAGCTATCCTGGAACAAGTTCAGGCTGTCTTAGAACTTGCTTTGTAGACTGACTAGTCTGGCCTTGAACTCACAGAGATCCTCCTGCCTCTGCTTCCCAAGTGCTGGAATTACAGGCATGTATCACCACCATTGTCCAGCTTAACTCTTACATTTTAAATTAACTCATACTTCCTTTTTAAAATATTTATTATGTATACAGCATTTGGCCTGTGTCTATGCCTGCATGCAAGAAAAGGGCACCAGATCTCATTCTAGATGGTTGTGTGCCTTCATGTAGTTGCTGGGAATTGAACTCAGAACAGCCAGTAATCTTAACCTCGAGTCATCTCTCCAGCCCAGTCCATATTTCTTATCTACCCTCTGCCATGTGGCTCATGGTTTATGACCTCATTTTCTACATGTCCTGCTTCCTCTGCCTCTGCCCTTCCTCATCCCAATATCTTTTTTTTTTTTTTTTTTTTTTTTTTTTTTTTGGTTTTACAAGACAGGGTTTCTCTGTGGCTTTGGAGGCTGTCCTGGAACTAGCTCTTGTAGACCAGGCTGGCCTCGAACTCAGAGATCTGCCTGCCTCTGCCTCCCAAGTGCTGGGATTAAAGGCGTGCGCCACCAACGCCCGGCTTCCTCATCCCAATATCTTTAGTCTGCTTCTACCACCTATACTTCCTCCCTGGGTATCGGCCAGTCAGCTTTTTCTTAAACCAATGAGTGTCAAATCTTTCAGGATTATTCCACAGCAGCTTGGTGTGATATCAACAGTTTAACAGTATTAATTCTCTGGACCTGTGAACACGTGTTTTTGTGTTCAACTTCTTTCATTAGTGTTCCATAACACGGCAGAGCATTCATTTCCACTGTTAAATTTCTGTCCCAGTGTAATGGTTTCAACTGTCAACTTGATTCAATCCAGAATCATCTGGGAAGAGTTTCAGTGAAATTGTCTAGGCAGGTTGGTGTGTGGGAAGGTCTGTGCAGGACTACCATGATTACAGTGAGGTGGGGATGATCAGCACACTGTGGGTGGTACCATTCTCTAAAAAGGAGGTTCTGAACTGTGTAAAAAAAAGCCTTCTTTGCTGTTTCTTGACTGTGAATAGAACTGTTTCATGTTCTTGCCACCTTGACTTCCCCACATTGATAAGCTGTTACCTGGAATTGAGCCAAATAATGTCTCTTACAGTTTTTAAACAAGCAAACACCAGGATTTCACTATGTAGCTCTGGCTGGCTTGGAACCCTCTATAGAGACCTAGTTAGTATTGATCTCACAGAGATTTTCCTACATTTGCCTTCTTAATTTGCTTGGGTTAGAGTATTTTATTACAGTGTTGTAGGATATTGGATCATACTGTGAAGCTCTTGAGACTATTAATAAACTTAACTTTTGGTCAGGAGACAGAACCAGCAACTAGTTGACAAGAATTAGCTATAGAGAGTACAGAGGACCTGGGAAGATTGATTGAGAGACACACAGGAAAGACTTACAGATTTTCAGCCTTTTTGGTTTGGGATGGTAGAAGATATGCTCTCTTGCTGGACCTCCAGGCAAAAAGGAAGGTCAGCTGGTTGCTTGTTGGCTTCTCTGATCTAGCAGGTTTTCAACCCAATATCTGATCCCCAAGTTTTTATTTGTGGTAGAATATTATTTTAAGGTGTGTGGCTTTTGTTTAAGTTGCATTTGTTTAATGAAGCTGTGATTTTTTTGCCTGTCTAAAACACTTGATGATATAATAAAGAGCTGAACAGCCAATAGTGAGGCAGGAGCAAGGACAGGCAGGGCTGACAGGCAGAGAGTATAAATAGAAGGAGAAACAAGGAGCAGCAAGGAGAGCAATAAGAGAACAAGGAGAGGAGGACATCAGGGGTCAGCCAGTCAGCCAGAGTAAGAAGGAAAGTAAGATATGGAAGTAAGAAAGATAAACTGGTTAAGAAAAGCTGGCTAGAGCCGGGCAGTGGTGGCGCACGCCTTTAATCCCAGCACTTGGGAGGCAGAGGCAGGCGGATCTCTGTGAGTTCGAGGCCAGGCTGGACCAACAGCCTCCAAAACAATACAGAGAAACCCTGTCTTGTAAAACCAAAAAGAAAAGAAAAGAAAAGAAAAGCTGGCTAGAAACTAGCCAAGCTATGGCTGGGCATTCATAACTAAGAATAAGCCTCTGTGTGTGATTTATTTGGGAGCTGGGTGGCGGGCACCTCAAGCCGCCCCTCCCCACCCTGCAAATTTCTTTAAAACTGAAATCTCTTTAAAAAATTTAGTCTCACAACTGTGGGTCCCTGTAAAATAATACGTAGGTTAAATACACACTTCAAAAGGAAAAAACCAAGGCACAGTCACAATCTAAACAAAGCAACACCAAACTCCAACAGTATAAATAACTCAACATCCCATGTCGGCGGTTTACTCATGATCTTCTGGGATCCTTAAAAGGATTTGGCCACTTCTCTGTCTCTGCCCTCTGCAGTAGACACAGCTTGTTTCTAAGCTGGGGCTGGCTCCATTCCGCTGCTGGCAATCATCTCTTGGTACTGGCATCTCCAAAATCTCTGGGCTGTTCTTTCACTAATAACTTCATAGGCTCTCATTATGGTGTCAAACCTCAGTTTCTCTGTATGACCCTTTTAATTCTGGGTCTTCAACTGCCACTGAGGCTGTCTTCACCAATGCCCTATCCTGGCCTCTCAGTGCCAAGTCTCAGCTGCTCTCCATGACTTCATGCTTATAAAAACAGCACTAGGTGACTCTTACACTTTCACGTTCAGCTGCAAGTCTGAGGTACAACCTTGGCTGCCTCTGGAACACAGTTTCTGTGTGTTGACACTGGAAGATAGTTCCCAGAAGTGTTCACATTAATGATGTTGGACTCTTTTTTTGTTTTCTTTATGTGCATTGGTGTTTCACCTGCATGTATGTCTGTGTTAGATCTTGGAGCTAAAAACAGCTGTGAGCTGCCATGTGGGTGCTGGGAATTGAACCGGAGTCCTCCGGAAGAGCAGTCAGTACTCTTAACCACTGAGCCACCTATCCAGCCCCCAGGTGCTCTTTTCTCAACCACTGCCAATTTCTCAGCTCCAGCCAACAAGCTGTAAAAAGAAGCTTTTTCCTTGAGAGAAGCCTTCCCGCCAGCATGGTTCTAGAGCCGCATCAGTTCCAAATAAACACACAGGAGGCTATATTAATTATGAAGCTGTTGGCCTTGCTTGTTTCTTACTGGCTAGCTCTGACTTAAGTAATTACCCCATGATTGTTAATATAAGTATTTCTCTTACCGGAGAATAGTTCCGGGCTTCCTACCCCATGGTGTTACGTCTCGACTCTTTGTGTTCCTCCTTCCCAGAGTCCTCCTGGACGCCTAGTCCCACCTATCTTGATTCCCTATTGGCCAGCAGTGCTTTATTGACATATACACAGGACTTCTCCAACAACTAGCCTTGAATATCCCATCAGCAAAGGTTTCACTTTTAATTGTTCTGGTATACTGTTAATCACAGTTGTTTCTTCAGCCCCAGCTAACTAGAACCACAGAATCTTAATTCCAAATAACAAATGACCTGTTAAGAGTTTTAGAACTTCTTCTGAAACTTCACAAGCCAGGTCTCCATCTTCTATATTGCCTTCAACATTGTTATCTTCCAAGTTCCCACAGAACAGCTCACCAAACATTAAGCATCTAATGGCTTTTTTTTTTCTTTTGCACTAAGTTCCAAAGTTCTTCCACAATCATTCCTGAATCACGGTCGGGTCTGTCACAGCAATATTCCACTTCTGGTATGGGATTTCTATCGCTGCAATGAAGCACCATGACCCAAAGCAAGTTGGGGAGCAAAGATTTATTTTTACTTCAGATTCTTCACTGTAGTCGATCACTGAAGGAAGTCACATCAGGAACCAGGGCAGGGACCTGGAAGGCAGGGGCTCATTCAGGGAACATGGAGGAGTACCAGTTACTGGCTTGCTCTTTATAGCTTACTCAGTCTTTCTTATAGAAGCCAGGACCACCAGCCCAGGGATGGCAGCATTCAATGGCCTGGGTCCTCCCCTCATCAATCACTGAGAAAATGTTCTACAGCTAGATCTCATGGAGGTATCTTCTTAATTGAGGTTTGTTTCTACCTTTCAGATATAACTCTATAGTGTTGCCATCTGACATAATACTAACCAGTACAAGTAGGAAAAGAAACTAAGATACTAGGATTGGGGTTTTTTGTCTGTTTTTGCTATTGTGAATGGGTTTGCTTTCTTGATTTCATTCTTAGCAAGTCCATTATTTGGTATCAAAAAAGCTATTGACTTTCAACTTTTTATTCATTTATTTTTGAGACAAGCTCAGGCTCACCAAGCACTACAGTAGTCTAGGCTGGCCTGAATTCACTATGTAGCTTAGGCTGACTTTGAACTCGTGGCGATCTTCTTGTTTAACCATGGGAATGCTGGGATTACAGGTGTGTTTTTCTTTTTTTACATTTGTGAGTGTGAGAGAGGGCACGGTCCATGGGTCCATTGGCATTGGGAACATATGAAGGTCAGAAAACAACTTGCTGGAGTTGGTTTGACTTTTTTACTATTTGGGTTCCTGGGATAGAACCTGAATGCAGCTGGTCAGGCCTGGACAGTAGGCACCTTCACCCACTGCGTCATCTTGCCCAGGCAACCTTGACTTTTGTCCGTTGATTTTGTATCCGACCATTTCGCAGGATTTTCTACATTTAAAATTATGGCGTCCACAAACGAGACTTTGTTTGCTTCTTTTCTATTAGTGTGCTCTTTATTTCTTTTCTTACCTTTTTTAGACGCAGGGACGTAGACAATACTACTTGAAACTCCAGAGTGCTGGGGCTCTGCCCATTGTTTATTTTCCTTGCCTATTGCTCCGGTTGAGCTTTCCAATAGTATGTTGAATAGGGACAGGTGAAAACGGACACCTTTGTCTCATTCTTTACATTAGAAAAATTGCTTACCTTCTTACGAGGGCTAACAAAGGTTACCTCCTTTAAAATAAGCACGCAGCCATCAACTATCAAATGCACAGCCAGCAAATGTCCTCATGTAGCAGCTGCTTGTATATATTTATTTTTCGAGGATACCATTTTTTCATCATCCCATCAATCTCAGTGCTTAATAGTTCATTTATTCAGCAAGATATCTTATGATCGATTCTCTTTGGCACTGAGTGGTGCTGTATTCGATAAAGTAGATGCTTATCATAGAAATTCTAAATAAGAAACACCAATAACTACATTTAGGATGACGAGGGCACAGAGATCGACATTTACGAAATTTCACGTTGAGTCAGCACATCTAGAAAACATAAAGGACACAAGAAGACTGGAACCAAGGTGCACAGGGCTAGGGGCTAAGTGGACTTCACCCAGGAGTTGCAAGCATACCGCCCTTCAGCGTCTTGTTTGGGGTCTCGCTCTCAGATCAGCGCCCGGTGACCTCCGCACCTGACCGCATGCCCGATGCCCCTTCCACGCTCGGTAACCGGGGTTCATTAGAAGCCCACGAGCTCCCGCTCGCCCCGCCCCACCCAGCCCCGCCCAGCCCCAGCCGAGGTCGAGAGAGGACCAGGTGAGAAGGCCGCCGCCGCCGCCGCACTTCCGTCCAGGTGAGCAGGCCAACGCACTTCCGCCCAGGTGAGGGCAGCCGCCGTACTTCCGCCAGGTGCGGAGGCCGCGCCCGCGCAGCCCCGGGGGCTCCCACTGCGCTGTCGCCTGACCAGGTAACGCTTGCGGCGCCCCGAGCCGGGGCCTCGGGGGAGCAGTGTCCTGAGCCTGCGGACGGTGCTCTGGGCCTCTCGCAGGCCCCAAGGCGGCCCGCGCGGCTCGGCTAATCTGCCCCGCGCCGACTTCCAGGCCTCCGGGCCTGGGATCTCAGCGGTCGCGCGCGCTCGCGGATCTGGCGCCCGCGGCCTCTCGGAGTGGGGCGGAGCCTCCCCCCCCCCAGACGGCAGGAGGGGGTGGAGGGGCCGAGCTGGCCTGGGGGGGGGTCCTCGCACCCCTCGGGCTGCACTCGGAGTAGCTGGGGTGGTGGCTTCCAGTCTTTGGGAAAGTTACTGGATCTTGGCTGCCCTCAGAAAGACATTTCCAGGATCAAGATCTGGAAAGCATTTCCAGGTCTTTGCCGACTTTCGAATGCCCCTGCCCTCTCCGAAGGCCGAGTCTTCCCCTTGCACTTAGTGTCTTGTGGGCTCTTCGGATTCCAATTCCTTGTTGACTGGTTTGTCTCTGCGGGTCAGAGGCCACACCTTTCCTTTGCCTGGTTTCTCTGACTTGCCTCTTGCCTGCATCTGACCTATGGTCTCACCATCGCTAGGTGCCTAACCTGTGTGTCTTCAGTGGAGAAGCCTACTGAGACCCAGAACCCGTTCCTTTGAAACTGCTAGATTACGTTCCAGGTGGACTAGCTTCACGGCTTCGGGTTCACTATTTCTAGAGAAAGCTAGGGAGAGGTGGGATAAACCGGAATCTGTTTATTTTGCAGAATTAGAAAATGGAAAGTCATGACCTTTTGCTATTTCTAGGACCCTAATGGTCTTTATAAAGACTATTAAATTTTACGATAATTCGAAAGTTAATACAGATGAGGAGGATTTTTTTTTTAGTGCTACAATTTGCAAACTGATTGCAAAGCGATTGCACCCATACTAGTTTAGATGATTATAATGGACTTGTCATCAGAAGAATGATTTGATCTCACGTTGAATTGTCTGAAGTTGTCAACTCTCATCGAATCTACTCTTAGTCTAATCTCCAGTCGAGTCATTATTGTTCCAGTGGTGAGGGCTTTGCATCAGAGACCATACACATACTGAGTAGGTGCTCCAACCCTGAGTTCCTCTGCAGCTGTTGTATTTGTATGAAGTTAACATAAATTCACTGTAGGGAAAACAAGAATTTTCAAAAGGGGACAGAACAAAAAATAGACATGGAAACAGGAGGGGCCTTTCTGTGGAGAAGTGGGGAAAGGAGATGGATAATGGGGTGCTTTGTTGTGGAAATAACAAACCACATTGTATACATGTCTGAAATTGTTAAAGAATTGAAAGAAGAAAATGGCAGTTAGCAGCCCCCGAAACCTATTTCACGACCCTTTTCCTTTCATTCTGTTTCTCTGTGTCCTACTGTCCTGGAACTATCTGTAGGCCAGACTGGCCTAAAACTCATAGAGATCCTCCTGCCTCTGCCTCCTGAGTGCTGGGATTAGAGGTGTGCACCACGACTGCTGGGCTCACCTTGTACTTTTTTTTTGTGCACTTTGTATTTTTTTTCCAAACATAACTTTTTATTTAAATTAGAAACAAGCTTGCTTCACATGCCAATCCCAGCTCCCCTTGCCCCTCCAATCCCCAGGGAGGGTAAGGCCCTTCATGGGATGTCTCCAGAGTCTGTCATTTCCTTCAGGGCAGTGCCTAGACCCTCCCCCAAGAGTTCAGGCAGAGAGAGCATCCCTCATTGTGGGATTGGCACCCAAAGTCCATTTGTACGTCAAGGATAAATACTGATCTACTTACCCAAGGCCCCATAGATTGCGTAGGCCTCCTCACTGACACCCACATTCAGGGAGTCTGGATCAGTCCCATGCTGGCCTCTCAGCCATCAGTGTGGGGTCCAAGATCTCCCCCTTGTTCAGATCAGCTGTTTCTGTGGGTTTCACCAGCCCAGTCTTAACCCCTTTGCTAATCACTCCTCCCTCTCTCTCACTGGATTCCAGGAGTTCAGTTCAGTGTTTAGCTGTGGGTGTCTGCATCTGCTTCCATCAGTCACTGGATGAAGGTTCTAGGTACACTTTGTATTTTTAAAGATGGGAATATCTGTGTTTTCTTGTAATGAATTCACTTTTAAAATTTTGAATTTTGCAGCAGTAGCCCAGCATTTGCCATTCTTTACAATAGGGCTTAATAATTACCTTTACATCAAACAGCCAAGTAGTCTGAGCTTGCTTGGTTTGTTAAAGTTTAACAACAATGCATTAGCCTGGGGAAGTCACAAAAAGGGTCAGTTTGCTGAAATCTTTGCTCATATTGGTAGGAGAGCTAAGTTTCTGGAGAAAACAGGACTGTTCTGCTTTAATATTTGAGTTCATATAACCACTGCTATTTTTTAAAATCTGGTATTTTTGTATAGATTTAGACATCTTTTAGAGCCCCCAGTGTAGATTCTGTTGCAAATTGAAGGAAATATAGTACCTGCCAGTACCTTGTTTTATTTGTATTTGTTGGTACTGAGGATGGAAACCCAGGGCTTGCACATGCTGAGCATTTGCTTTACCAACAGATAATACCGTCTTTTTAGTGAGATGAATAGATAGGTGTGGAGGACCTAGTAGAGTTTAATGACGAGCATTAGTGCTACTTATAGCTTTTGGCAAGGGAGTTATGCTGGTTCCCCTTTGGAAATGATCTGCCTCACTGACAATTGGAGAGGCTGGAAGGAAACAGGTCTAGAGAATGTGTCTTGTTAGCAGCAAGCTGATTTTCTCCATTTTCCTCTCCCCTCAGATGTGAGGAAGAACTCAAGCCTGTAAGCCTTCTTACCTGGATAGTCAGAGACTGGGCTGAGAAGGAAAACCTTGCAAAGACCTTTCTGAAAAGGTCTAGGTTAATAGGTCAGGACTTTGTAGTGAACACAGAACCCTGCTGGCACAAGTTGATTGGGGCTTCTTGGCACTAATACGTATCTTACGTATGAATGCACACCAGCTTCTGAAGACAGTGTAGAAAGTTTAAAATATCTCATTTTTACATTACGTGCTTGTTTAAATGATCCGTGGTATATGCTGGATTAAGTAAATTGCATATTAAAGTTAGTTTCGTCAAGAACTTTTAAAGACTATTATTTTATTTTTTATTTTTATGTCTTGTTTTTTTGAGACAGGGTTTCTCTGTGTAGCCCTGGCTGTCCTGGACCTCACTCTGTTGTCCAGGCTGGGCCTCTGCCTCCTCTGGAATTAAAGGTGTATGCCACTACTGCTTTTTTTTTTCTCTTTTTATGAATTGGTGTTTTTCCTGCATGGATGTCTGTGTGAGGGTATTGGATCCCCTGGAACTGGAGTTACTGACAGTTGTGAGCTGCCATGTAGGTTCTGGGAATTGAACCCAGGTCCTCTGGAAGAATAGCCAGTGCTCTTAACCACTGAGCCATCTCAATGCTATTTTTATTGTTTTTAAAATTGCATGTATGTGTGGTTTGTGCAAGTGAGTGCAAGTGCTTGTGGAGGGAGGCCAGGTTAGTGCCCTGACATGGGTGCTGGGGACTGAATTTGCATCCTCTGTAAGAGCAGTGTACAAACTTAGCTGTTCAACTCTCTCTCTAGCCCTTGCCAAAATTTTAAAATTAGTTTGTGGCTTACATTCTATTGGAAGACACTAGATAAAGATTGCATAAGTGTTTATCCTTCAGGGGGAATGATTAACACTCCAATATAAATTGACTTGTGTTTGAGACAATGGCCTCAAACTCACCCTCATCTTTCTTGCCTGTGAAATGCTGGGATTACTGATGGACCATCATGCTGGCCTTAAAGACTTGAAACTGACTTGGTGGTGTGGGGTGTTGTGAGTTAAGAGGGACAATGAAAGAAAGAGGGTCACTCTAGAATGTAATTCAGGCTCTGAGGCAGTCGGGAGGAAGTGAACTGCAAATAGTCATGCAGAAGCATATTTATTGGTTGCTTTGTAAAAGTTGTTTTTGGAGTAAAATAAGTTCCTAAATCAAAGCCCCTGATCTAATCTGTTCCATGAAGGAAAATATCACACCCCTTCAACTGTAGTCCTGATTGTGTACCGTTTGTAATACCCAATAATGCAAGATGTTCCAGGTGTGCCAGGATTGTCATGTGACCAAACTTAGGCAAAGACTGTAATGCTCCTTCAGAAAAACAACTCTATAAATCACAGAAAACAAGAACTGTTTTTTGATAAGTAAAAGTATCTCCTGGTAGTGGGTAATTCCACCGATGCGATAAGTCACCAAATTAAAGTCCAGGTTTTACATTGAGGAAAGCATTCCCTAGTGTTCTGGGGAAAGGGGAAACCGAGAGGCTGTTCCCAAGGAGGGGGGCCTTAAATACCCTGTAGGGGAGGAGCCACTGCTTGGTGGGCTTTCTGGGGGGAGAGGCCTGAAAAGAGAGATGGTATGCAGAGGCAGGAGGATCTCTGTGAGTTTCAAGTTAGCCTGGTCTATATATCAAGTTCTGGACCAACCAGGGCTACGTAGTGAGACTCTTATCTCAAAAAATACCCAAAAGAAAAAAAGTACCAAAACAAAACTCCAATATATAGTTCTTTCTTTGGTCTCTTGTTTTGTATGAATTGCACTGATGAAAAGTTTTCAATCATCTCAGTATTGATTACATAGCAAAACCACAATCGACATATTAACTTATTTGAAATTTCAAAATGTTATGTAATTTGATTGAAAAGAGATACCAACAACAATAGAAGCCATTGTTTGTTGGTTGTTTATTGAGTGTGTGCCATGTGCTAGGCCAAATTTAGTCCTCTCAACAATTAGATGTTTAAAAAGATTCTTTAATGGGCCAGGTGGTGGTGGCACATGCCTTTTATACCAACACTTGGGAGGCAGAGGTAGGTGGATCTCTCTGAGTTCTAAGTCAGCTTGGTCTGCAAAGTAAGTTGCAGGACAGTCAGCTACACAGAGAAACCCAGTCACAGAAAAACAGGAAGAAAAAAACAAAGATTCTTTGCTGAATACTTTTTAT